ATCATGGAGTGTAATTTCATCCATTTAGTGGAGCTGTTTTTAAAATTTATATTTGAGTCCATTTTCAAAATACAGTTACTTGGAGCTTGAATTTTAAAGTTGCCTACTGGATCTCATATACTTATCTATGGTAGGTAGTGAACCTCGACCTGTGGCAATTGAAGATGAAAAATATTTTTTTAACCGAAAATAATTAAATATTTCATTTTAATTAAATAAAAATGTATTTAGGAAGCTCAATTTTAATCCAACGTAGTATTTTGAATTTATTTAAAAACCATTCAAAATTCAAAATAAGGAAAATTCTATCAAAATAACCTTTAAGTAACTTTAAGAGCCTAGATAAATGTGTAAAATACTCTTATGAGTTATATTAGACAATCAATATATTCAAACCCCTAATAAAAAGTTTACCCTCCAAATGTGGATGTGTGCGTCTATTTGTCGGTAGTTTAGATGGAATCCATCCAACAAGTTCTTTGCTACTACATTTATAACAGTTCAGAATGATGCTAACCAAATGTGAAAGTTCAAGTTCCATTATTGCGAAAACACGAGATTATACTTGGAGCCTCGAAGGGTTCCATTTATTTGAATACAATGACTACAATGTACAACATTACTTTATTTCTTTGCCTACGAGAGAATAAAGGACGAAACTAAAGGTATGTCGAGCATGCATGCATCCATGCTTGCATTATTCAACATAACATTTCTAAATAAATTAAAGCAAGCAGTAATTGTCATTATTCTTCATTGGTGGAATCATTCATATCATTCTTGAGATCTAGCAACCAAGTTTTGGGAAAACATAAAGGTTCGTGAATCTTAAAACTTTGAGGAAGGTACTCTCTTTGTCAAGGATTGGGAGAGGTAGACTGCAAGCACACGAAAAGTACAAGAATTGGAGATTCTTGGAATACCCCTTGGAATAGACAATTGCAGAAGATCGGGAAGCTGGAAGTAGACAACAGATCTTGAAAGCTAGAGGAAGTAGATCGGGAAGTCTAGTGGAGTTGGCTAGACAACATCTAACTGTAGAAGATCGGGAAGTTGGTGGGTACAACAGATCTTTGAGATTATAGGAATTACAACAGCGGGAACTAATGGAATTTGTTAGGCTGGAAACGGACTGTAATCCATATTGTCTATAGTAGAGGTAACTGACTTGGTTCCGGAGTTTTTACGCAGTTGGTTTTCTTCGTCATCATTTTGGCGTTCGTTATTTATTGCTTTCTTTATTACTGCGGCATTCACACATATGATAATTGGACATGTATGCGTATTCATCTAGAAACAATTAAAAATGACTTGTTGCTTTTGATTAATTGATTCCACACGTAGGGTCAAAATTAAAAACGGATAATTAACAACTTTTCGGTAATTTAGTAGCCGTTAATTTGGTAATCCATAACTTTCAACAAGAAAATTAAGTTACATGTGAGAGGACCTTCTAACATATGTTCTCACGCATCCTCATGATGGTTTTAGTGAATGTTCATTATTCTCGGACATTAATGAAATGTTTGATAAGTTGTATATTATTTTATTGGACAATATTAGATAAGTAATCATAAGCTTAAGTATTGTTGTTGTTCCGTCCAATATTGCGTGATACAATATACTAATTACGCACTTGATATGTCGATGATGTAGAACCAAAGATAGAATCTATGGAAAATTATACTGTTTGACATTAATTTAGATGGGATGCATCTGAATATAATGACAAATTTATGTAAACTATTATTAAAAGTGAAATATATAGATGTAAATGTGGAGTTGGTTGGTCCATCACAAATCCCTTAGATATGTAATCATTAATTTTAATGATGGTTTTAGCGAATATTCATTAATTTCAAACATTATTGGTATGTTTGATAAGGTCCGTTATAGTAATTGACAAGTATAACAATGTTAAAAAAGCTAAAATCTTGTCCATCTTCCATGCTCACGTGCTATATGAAACATATACTTAATTATTAATTACTCACCTTATATATTAATGTTACAGCACTGAAGATAAAATCCAAGGGAAAATTATTGTTTGACCTGAATTCTAAGATATCCATCAGAATGTGATCGATATGAGATATTATGGATTTTAAATATTTATACCATATGATTCAACAAGAAGTATAAAATAAGTATAATTTGTTGAGGCAAGGTATAAGTACTTTTATTTTTCTACTGTACATGAACAAAATATATGTAAAACTTTAAGTCATTCTTCACTTCCTTCTCATTACTTTTCAAGACCTTTCTTCAATTCTCCATGTTAGGCAACTTGAGTTAATTATAACCGCGTGTATAGATATTTTTCTATTTCGTAACTATTAGACACAGACTAACTCTAAGTTGAACTTTTTGACTGTGCAATAGAATATTATTAAACTATAAAATTCTACATATAAAAATTGTATGAGACTTCTCTTGGAGGCTTTCTAGTTGTATTATAGATATTTCCATGCACGAGTAAATACATTAAATTTGTTTCCACTATTAGAGAATATTGATTTAGGAATATCATTGTGAAACTAGTAAGGTGTAAGAATAAAGTAAAACTAATAGAATTAATGGAACAACTTGTTATCAATTTAATTGGTGAGACGTAAGTTGAATTAATTATCGAAGTAAACGTGTAATTTCATCCATTTAGTGGAGCTGTTTTTAAAATTTATATTTGAGTCCATTTCTAAATATTGTTACTTGGAGCTTCGATTGTAAAGTTGCCTACATTGTCTAATGCATCTTACCTCTTTGGACAATGTGAAACTACTGTAGATAGATTGACGTTCACCATCACTAACCAAAATAAAAAATAAAAAATCGCTTGTATTTAATTTGTCATTATTTCTTTTGATTTGCTTTGATTCACAATTTTAAGTCAATAACCAAAAATCCCGAACTAAGTCGGAAAAATTTGTGGTTTACATACAGCGACCAACAAGAACTCTATGTCCTCAAGTTTTGAATTTAATCCAATTTACTCCTTTAACTTTTAAATTTGTTCATTTCAGCCCTGAACTTCTAATGTGATCAAATTGGTCCTCCAATTTTGGATTTCTTCAATTTTGGTCCTTCAAGTTCTGAAAATATTCAAGTTGACCCCAATGTTCTTATTGCATACACTTTGATCCCAATCACCAAAAAAGAGCTTTTGCAGTGGCCAAAAAACGCTGCAAAAGACATTTTGAAGCGTTTTTCCAAGTGTTGTCGGGGTTGGTGTTGCCGTTAAGAGAAGACTTTTTGCAGTGTTTATTCACCGTTGCAAAAAAAGTCTTTTATAGCGTTTTTTCAACGTTGCAGTGGACCATTTTTTTTAAAAAATGTTGTATGTTGTAATTGATCGACAAAATTGAAAATGACACTTTGTGAACAAATTTTAGAATTACATAAAAAATGATAATTTCATTACAAATTTTTGAATCAATACAACATTTGGATTTCTTGAGCATAGCTTATAAAATTTATCCTTTCTGTTCCAAATATACATGGGATAACTTTGTTATCAAAGGTCTAAAACGTGCAACAATTTCCATAAACAAGTGGTGGAGTAACGGTAAATTACATACTAATGTTTTTTGGAATTAGACAGAGCCATTGAACAACACACATATTTACTACAATAAGTAATTATTTCCCAATATAATACTCCTCTAAATTAAGCAGTAATTCAAGCCAAAAGCCATAAATTCTTATGCCATCCGGTGCTGATAAGGTACCCACTAACTCCTTTGCTTTGCTTCCTTACTCCAATTGTCAAGCAATCCAACACATTTATGTACTGTTCTACAAATTCCTCTGTGCTGCTCTTCAAGCAAAGGCTGCCAAAATTGCATAACCTACGAAAATAAATCATTATGGAAATCAACAAAGTAGGAACTAGAAAATAGATTTATTGTAAAAACCAAAATAAGAACTCACCAATTGAGTAATGGGGACCTAGGACTAGCACAAACACCTCAAGCTTCTTCACTTGATGACGGAAGCACACATTCATTGATGCATAAAAAATGAAAACAGAATAGAACTCTAAAATCACAAATTAATTGAACTCAACCTGAGAAACTAATGTACAATAGATCAAATTCCAGAATTTAACTTGTTGACTATATGCAATGCACGGGAGGAAACAAAAGCTTTGTCATGGTAACTGCAATTTTCAATGTAGTAAGTATATCTATAGAGCCACGTGAGCAACAACATTAAGTAAGAACTAAAACCTCTCAACCCATTTAACAAGCTCCTCAGGAACTCAATCTTCTACCAACGATATTGCATACCACTCCAAATGGGACAATTCCAACTGAACAGACAGTGTCATCAGTACCCGAGTCAGAACTTCACAACCTACATATAGCATGCCTTTAAAACATGAGATCGAGTATGGAGTATGTTTACTCACAATCTCAAAACATTATGCGAAGACCACTCGACAAGATTTAGGTAGAAATCATCTTGCAGTGCAGGTGCATCCAAAACCTATTGAAAAACACTAGCAGACCCATGAGTTCAAACTGTCCAAATAACAAAAACACTTACAAAAATGGCCCAAATTACGATCCACAATGGCATAACACAAATTTCATGGTGAACCTCAGAAATTTCACACCACAGCTGGAAACCCAAATTACCAAATTAAAGCAGTAAATACAATCAACAACCATAAAAAATTCCACTTAAGAACTCCATAAATCCAAAAATACTAAACCACAAATTAGAAAATAACATTAAAAACTTCCTACCTTATAAGGAGATTTGGGAACTTTCCTGCGACTATTAACAGGGTTAAGAGACACTCCAGGAAGCAGGTAATCGAACCCAAAAGGCGTTAAAGAATGTAAAGATTTTCTTTCCTGCGACTATTAACAGGGTTATAAGACACTCCAGGGAGCTGGTAATCGAACCCAAAAGGCGTTAAAGAATGCAAAGATTTTCGGGTCTTTATATTTAAAAATATACAATTAGTCTGAGTATTCTGCAAAACCCCACTGTTACTACTTCTCCCACCAATTTTTCCATAAAGGTACAATTTTTCCAGGGTCAATGGGGGAGAACGTGCCACCGAATTCGAGACCAAAAAGGCAAGCCTCTAAAAGGGAATTGTAGGCAAAGGTAGAGCCATCAGAAGAGGAAGAAAATGGATTATTTGTGATGTTGAAGAGGGCGAAATTGGAAGATGTCAAGGAGTTCTTGAGGAAGTAGGGGTTTGAAGAAGCGCTCGAAGATCGATGAAGCCCATTGACATTGTCTATCATCAAGAATTCAACCCCTAATTTCAAATTTCAATTGTACACATAATCAAAAGTTTGCATATATATAACAGGAATGGGGGGTTTTGTCTGACTGTTTGAGTGCCGGAACTTACCAGGATACTGAGTGCTGAGTGCTGGAAGATCGAGAGAGCTTAGATAGGAGTGAGGACGCGTGGAGCTGGAACCACGAGCTTGGAAGTTGGAATGGGGGGAGGCGCGGTCGCGCGGAGCTTGAAAGTTGGAGCCGGTACCGTAGGTGTGGCCATTGGCTGCCGTCAAGGCGTCAACTGTGGTAGAGAGGATGGGCGGAGCGTTTTTTGAGGTTGCTGTTAAATTGATTTGATTTAGAGAGTAGGGGGAAGAAGAAAGGAAAGGCGGAGATGTGGGGAGGAAAAGTTAGGGCTGAAATGATTTGATTTAGAAGGGTTGGGGAGTTTTTGCAACTTTTTTTTAAAGTTGCGAAACTACGAGGAAAAAAATGAGAAAAGCGTCTTTTGCAACATTTTTTAAACATCGTGAAAGACACTTTTTGCAACGTTTAAAAAACGTTGTGAAAAACTCTGTCTTTAAAAAATTACACAATACTAAAAAAAAGTTACAAAAGGGTAACATTAGTAACATTCACTTAAAAAATGTTTCCAAAGCTCAATTTTATTAGACAATGGCAACATTCACGTATTAAAATGTTGCGATGGACCCCTTTAGCAACATTTAACTATCGAATGTTGCCTTTTGTGTGTTGCAAAAGCTATTTTTTGGTGTAGTGTCCCCACACTTTCCAAATGCCAAATATGATTCCTGAAACGGGTAAATTATAAAATTAACTATTCAAAGCTTCCAACCATGTCCACAACTTCCCCGAAGTTATTCAAATCCACCATTCTTGCTCCAATTAAGCTCTAAATCTATTCCTTTCCCACAATTAATCTCCAAGTTGGGGTTTTACCTAGAAAAAATAAGGAAAAATCTATCAAAATAACCTTTAAGTAACTTTAAGAGCCTAGATAAATGTGTAAAGTACTCTTGTGAGTTATATAATACAATCAATATATTCAAACCCCTTCTAGGTTATGCTAGACTACATATAGACCTAATAAAAAGTTTGCCCTTCAAATGTGGATGCTTGCGTCGATTTATCAGTAGTTTAGATGAAATCCATCCAACAAGTTATTTGCCACTACATTTACAACAGTTCATAATGATGCTAACCAAATGTGAAAGTTTAAGATTCATTATTGCTAAAACACGAGATTACACTTGGAGCCTCGATGAGTTTCATTTATTTGAATATAATGACTACAAGGTACAACATTACATTATTTCTTTGTCCTCGAGAGAATAAAGGACGAATCTAAAGGTACGTCAAGCATGCATCCATGCTTGCATTATTCAACATAACATTTCTAAATAACTTAAAGTAAGCAGTAATTGTCATTATTCTTCAGGCGTGACAGCCTTTAGCTTCCTTGGTTTTTTTGGTTCAGGAATCTCTTCCACCACTCAGCTGATCTTTTTGTGTGTCTCTTCAAATTTTCATTCTTGAAGTCTACATAATAAACTCCAAATCTAACATTGTACCCTTGGGTCCATTCAAAATTATCAAAAAATGACCATATGAAATAACCCTTCAAATGTACACCACAACTGAAAACAAAGAATAATCGATTAATTTCAAAACTTACAAATTTTCTTAGAATTTAACAACAGTATATGAAAAAAAAATGATGACTTACTCCATTGCCTTTTTAAGATATGCAAGATGGTCCTTGAAATATTCAACCCTTGTTTCATCAATACAAGCCTCTGAAATTGGTTGATTATTGTTTTTCAGTTCATCCACCCCTACAAAAGAATATAGAAGAATTCAACAAATCACTAAATGCTCCAAAATTTTAGTATTTGTAATGTATATTCTTGTTATATATATATTATATAATAATTCAACAAATCACTAAATGCTCCAAAATTTTAGTATTTTAAATGTATATTCTTGTTATATATATAAATAAACATAACTGTATACCATTCTCTATAACGAAAATCTCAAGATTATTGTATCTTTCCGTTATGTAAAGCATCATATTGTAAATTCCCTCTGGAACTATGTACAACCAATCCGAACCACCCTGACACAAAGTAAAAAAGATTTGCAATTACATCAGATTATACGTAAGCATCAAAAATTATGTAAACCTTTATATCCATTTTTGTTGTTTCACCATAAATTGTTGATGTGCCTAAATTGTTAGAATAATCCATTCCATTTTCTATATTCTTTTCTCAGGGAGGGTACAATTAATGGCTCACCCATTTACCAATTGGCTTGCCATTTCGATGAGCTACAAAAGTATGAGAAGTAAACATCTTGTTAGAAGTAGTGTCCATTTTATGTCAAGGTGAAAGATTATAACTGAACTTACTGTGATCTACAACATGCAGATCATTCTGATAATGTGTTATGAAAGTCTCTCGAGGTACATTTTGGGCATAACGAGCTGTGTAATAATTTATGCCTAAGAAGTCACAAGAACCTTTCACTAGAGCCACCTCGTCAGGTTTAAATTTGGGAAGACGTTTTCGTACATTGTTTCTCATGGATGATGGATAATCACCTGTTATTACAGAGGTTACAAACCTGAACAGGAGAAACGTGTTAAAAATATATCTCATGTGTTCTCTTAAAAAGGCACATAGTTTATACAATATACAAACAACAAAAATGCATAAACAGGTTAAAGGATAAGAAGAATAGAAGAAAAGAGATTTTTGATAATGGATTCCAATTTAACGAACTTCCTGCGCAACTAATTTCATTTGGAGATTTACGAATTTATAGAGATGACCATCCTAACAAAAAATCGATCGCTCTCGAAGCAGCCTCGACATCCTCTGGTTTGTCTTCATCAAGTGGAGAATACCAGATTGAAACGTTTGTCATCCCTATTTTGCCTTTTTGTATTCCTGGCATGTACAGATGTATTGATATTTATAATCAATAAACTATCGTAAAATATCAAAAGTGCATTTACCTATTTATTCTTGTACGCTTGTGAAATGTTAAAATAAAAACCTGATAATATTTCCGGTATATATTAACCGCATGTGCATGAGCAAGGATCAAATTGTGTGCCACTATATATGGTTCTGTTCCGGGATTTCCTTTTGAGAAATTAGGGCAATGCAAGTGTATCATAGAAGATACTCTGACCCGTTCTCCCTTCGTGGAAGTACGACTAGGCAAATTATGTGCCTCAGAAACTACTTCTCTGACTGAACGTCCTTCAGAGGAAGTATAAGGAGGCAAATTATATTCCCGAGAAACTACTTCTCCGACTGGATATCCTTCAAAGGAAGTACAGTTAAAATAATCATACGCCATGGCACCATCATTTGTATATCCTTCAGAGGATGTACTATAAGGCAAATTGTATGCCCGAGCAACTAGTTCTCTCACTGCATCTCGTTCAGTGGAAGTATCGTAAGGCAAATTGTTTGCCATATCAACTTGTTCTGTAATCCGATCTCTTTCAGAGGAAGTATCATAAGGAAAATCATATGCCATACCAACTACGTCTCCGGTCATACGTCCTCTTGATGAAGTACGCGGAGGAATAGTGATTGCACTTCTATGATGAAGGATTGAGGAACGCAACACTCGTTCCAACGATGTTGCAAGATTATAACCTCGACGAGGGGGAAACCTTGCTATCACATATCCACAAAAAGTAAAGGACCATGACTCATTGAGTGTGATCCAATGTTTCACTTGACCACCAAATTCCCGACAGCATATAAGCCATTTGAGTGTTTTTACAAGGGTATTATGGAAATATGAAACAAGTTAAAGATCGACATATATGTCTGTATTATACCCATGGTTAGTAAAAATAAATAAATTCAAGTAAAATTCTTAGAAGAGGTCCAGTCTATTATTAAAAAAATGATAATAAAATAAAATGGCAAGTAACAATTTTTTTCAAGTAAAGGAAAATGACTGCCCCAATAGATGAAGCTTAAAGCCAGAAACCAAAGAATAGTAAAAAAAGAAAATGGTCCTTTTATGTGTTTTTCTTGTAGAGTAAAGATAAAGAAAATGGTGGAAAGAATTGAAAAGAGATTCACCGAATGGTAATTATTAGAATAAGAATTGGAGTAAAGAGACTAAAAATGGAATCATGATGTCTAGGCATGTGTAGTTGTATTATTTTTTTTTTTAGGGAAAATCAAATCTTGCTCTATAAATTTATTGTAATTATTTTGTTTCAAAAATCAGGTACTTGTCCATCTCATTATGTCTCGATTTCAATACCATGTACGTGTAGTAATAAATACGTGTCCGACCGATTATGTCTCGATGATCAATACCATGCACGTGTAGTATCAATATAATATAATTGTCCAAATATTCTTCAATATGGAATTTACGAGTAAATCTAATATGATTATACAAGTCCATAAATATATTCCAGTATATTTAGCGGATGTCTATTTTAGTTTTTTGCTTAAATTAGGATTCCTAAAGGCTCTTTGTTGTCAGAATACAAGATATTCATTTTGGTTTGCTATTATTTTCTGGTGGATTCCAGTTTTACGAGCTTGGGGTTTATGCTAGTAAACCTTTGAACTTCCGTTCTACGTAATATTAAAATGGATTATTATTGTAAAATTTTCCAGCAAGTTGATGGATTGTAAGAAAGTAATATAATGATGAACATATATTAATTATCTATTCTATTTTATTGAAAACTAACTATAACATAATGGGCTAATTGTAGCCACTGTCCCAAACTTAAAAATTGCTGTAGCTTTTACTCTAACATTTCATTTGTTGCATTGTTGTCCTAAGCCTTTCAAGTGTGTGGTTGGAGGACAAATAGATGAATTATGTCCATAAGTCTAACTAGTGACCACCCCTCCCACCCCCCGGCCAAAATGATTTTAACCACATTATTAACTTTCTTTTAATTTAGTCCTTTAACGTTTGAGTTTATTCATTTTAGTCCTTGAACTTCTAATGTGATCCAATTTGTCCTCCAAACATTCCTTCTCTTCAATTTTTGTCCTTCAAGTGTGGATGTGTGTGTCTATTTGTCCCTAGTTTAGATGGAATCCGTCCAACAAGGTCTTTGCTACTACATTTATGAAAGGTTGAGAATGATGCTAACGAGATGAGAAAGTTTAACTTCTATTCATACATTTCATAAAGGTTAGTTGGATTGCTACAACTTTCAGTAAATAAGAAAAAAAGAATATACTAAGTAACTAGAACTGAAGCAAGTCGGTCTCAAGTATTTTATTACACAAACTGAAGCACGAGAATTACACTTGGAGCCTTGAAGGGTTCCAATTATTTCAACATAATAACTACAAATTATAACATTACTTTTTTCTCATCCAACAAGAGAATTAATGACGAAACTAAAGGAGCATCGAGCATGCATCCATGTCTGCATTATTCGACACAACTTTTCTAAATAAATTAAAGGAAGCAGTAATTATTATTTATTTACACCATCGCATCTTGAACTTTTCACAGTACCATGTCATTCTTCTACAGTCTTGACATCTTGTTACCTTCTAAGGCTTTTTCAGGAAATTCATCCACCACATAGCTGATCTTTTAGGGAATTTAGTCAAACGTCCATTTAGGAAGTTTGCATAAAAAATGCCAAATCTAACATTGTACACTTGGTCCCATTTAAAAATATCAAGCAACGACCATATGAAGTAACCCTTCACACATATACGAGGTCTGAAAATGAAGGAAAATTAGTCGATTAATTTCAAAACGTACAATTTATTTCAAATTCTTGAACTACCATATGTGCAAAACAAATGATGACTTACTCTATTGCCTTTCTAAGGTATGTGAGACGGTCCCTGTGATACTTAATCCTAGTTTCATCAATACGAGCCTTTGAAATTGTTAGGGCTTTATTGTTGACTTCATAGTTTCATTAATTCGTTGAGCTGGTATAATATGAGTCTCTGTCACGATCATGTATCACCATAATTTGTTTTATATGCCTAAATTGTTATAAGAATAATCTATTCATTTTCTGATTTTTTTCACGGAAGGGTAATGTTAATGGCTCACCCGCTGACCAATCGGCTTTCCGTGATGATGAGCTACAAAAGAATGAGAAGTGAACTAATTGTTATTAGTAGTGTCCATTTTATGTCAAGATAAAAGAATATAACAGAATTGTACTTACTGTGATATTCAACATTCAGATCATTGTCATAATGTGGGTGTGAAGTCTTTCGATGTATATTTGTGGCAATAAGTCACAAGAACCTTTCACAAGCTCCACTGCGTCTAGATTAAATTTGGGAAGACGTTTTCCTACATTATTTCTCACCAGTTATTATAGGGGCTACAAACCTAGACAAGAGAAATGTGTTAAAATTTTGAATTATGATAGAAGTACTGTCTGAAATTCTACAAAAATGTATATCATGTATTCTCGAAAGGACACATGGTTTATACAATATACAAACAACAAAAATGTAAAAACAAGTTAAAGGATAAACAAAATAGAAGAGAAGTAGTTTTCGATAACGGAATCCAAATTTAACAAACTTCCAAGGCCACTAATTACATTTTGAGTGTTTGGAATTTATAGAGATAAGAGAAATTTCTCTTGGTAATGATAAACTACTCAAGCACATGCAATAATTACTCGAGCACATGCAGTATGTACAAATGTAATAATATTTATAATCAATAATTAAATCTCAAAAGTGTGTATTTATATATGTGTCTATGAAATATCAAAATGAAAACCTGATAATATTTCTTGTATATATTAACCGCATGTGCATGAGCAAGGATCAAATTGTGTGCCACGGTATATGGTTCAGTGCATGGATCTCCATTTGAGGAAGTATGGGGAGGAGTACTAAGCACCATATCAAATGGTTCTCTCTTTGGATTTTTTTCCAGACGAAGTAAGTGTAGGTCTTATGCCCTAGGTTCAATCAACTTTGGACATAAACACTTTTAATATATATATATATAATCGATGCATATTTATGGCAAAATCTATTATTTAATTGAATTAATATTCTAATAAATTAAATAATAGAATTCGTATATTCAAGTTTTGGTGATTTGTTATATTCAAGAAGTTGTGATTGTAAGATATAAATTACATATGACTGAATCTTAAATCGTTCGTGGTCTTATGTAATAACAAGATACATATATCATTATTATGGATAGACCATCACGTATGACATTTCTTACTTATGAAGTAAGTAGCTGATCTCGCAAGTTAAAGTATGGTGACACTTGAATGAACAAGTGTGCAGCGATCGAGAATTTTAAATGATATAAAGTTATTTTCTTGAAAAACGTGTCGCTAAGTTTTGAGCCTAAATTTTTAATAAAAGGAGTATACGTCTAGCCATTGTAACATAAATTTAAATCTATTCAATCGAGTCCAATCTCGAGTATTTTAAAGTATCAAATTCCCTATCATTCTTAGACCCAAATTTCAATAGTTTTAAGTACAATATTTTATTATCTAGAGCCCAAAATTTTGTTTGCCCAATTCTTGATTATTTTAGTCGAATCTACTTAAATCCAATTA